AAGTATTATGTAATAATAAATAATTTTAAAAGCCAATAAAATAAACATTAAAAATTGAATATTAATAGATTATAATATATAAATATAAATATATTTTATTATTATTAAAATAAATTAAAGATCTCTGGAGTTTAATATAGTAACCTTCGTTTTGGAGTCTTTTAACAACAATGGAGGTCCTCCGGAGGTCTACACCCAAAGATTTTCAAAGATCTTTGCTAAAAAATTTCTTGATGAAGGTGTTGTGATCCAAATTTTATGATATGGACTAAGGTATTGTAATTCAAATTTTATGATATGGACTAAGATATAATATTTATTTTATGACATGCACCAAAATGGTGCATTTTGTATATCAAGCCACATGTAGCATAATCAGATTTCTGTCATCAAAAAAAAATTAAAATTTTATCAGTAACGTGAGTTAGCTTGCTCTTGGGATCTTGTATTGTTGTCATTTTATATATCACATAAATAAAAGATAATTATGCAAATGCTATATCTCAAAGAGACACTCCTAAAGAGCTTGGATATGATATCAATATCACTATAAGTTTTCTTTAAATACTTTTAATTTTTCTGTTATTTTCTCTAACCTTTTTCATTAATATTGATATTGAGATTGATAATTACCAATGTGTATTATACATACATCATATTTATAAAAAGTTAACTTGTCATATTTTTTATATGATATACACATAGGAGAATTTCTATGAATATAATAGTCTTAAACTTCATATTTCTCATTGTATACTTCATCACCAAATAGATCAATTATATCTATACTAAATTCTTTAATAATATATATTGCATAAAATAATTAATAGAAAAATTAATACAATCAGGATGCTATATGTATGCTAGATGCAAAGCAATATAGTATATCACAAAAAAATGCTATCAATAATACTATTATATATATGCTATTAAAAAATGTTATCCAGTTATGCTAGAGATGAAACCTCCTTACTTCGTGAGTCAGGTTATGTTATCAAAAAAATGTTATCAAGTCATGTTATCAAAAAATGTTATCAGATTATGTTATTAATTTATTTTGCTCATAGTTAATCCCAAATTGTTAGCAGTTGTTAGCTTTGCATAATTCATTCAAATATCAATCACAAATAAGGTACATAGTGCCAAATTATTAGCAGTTATTTGGTGATATGTAAAAGCAAAAATTTATCTTATCTCTTTTCTTATAATATTTTACTTTTGCGTTCACTTTTTTTTAGTATTTGCAATCCTGTTATCTAACCTTTTTTTTTAGTAATATATAAAAGCACAATTTTTTTTATCTCTTTCCTTATAATATTCTACCTTTACGTATTACCAAAATTGTCAAAAAATTGGATCACACTACTATATATCACATATATATTATATTTTGATAATCTTTACACATTACTTTTTGATATCTACCTAATAATATATTAAAGCTCAATTTTTTGTAATCTTTGTATATTACTTTTACATATAATTTTTTTGGTACTTATGTCAGCTCTACTATATCTACTTAATGATATATAAAGCTCAATTTTTGTAACCTTTGTATATCACTTTTTGATAACCTTTGTGTATTACTTTTTTAGTGCTTTATGTCAGCTTCACTGATATCTATCTAATGATACTGTTAAGGTGAAAATAAACTATATAAATAAATGGATACAAATAAGAAAAATATATAAAGAAATATGATAGATTTATTAAGGTATCCAGTATTTCTAGTATATTCCAGTATTTTGAGTTATCTATCTGATAACAAGTAGTATAAAGTAATTATCAAGTATAAAGTAAATAACAAGTATAAAGTTATATAAATTATAAGACATAAAAAGTATAAAAATAAGATAATGATATAGAAAAAATGAGACATATCCAAAAAAGCTATCCACCTGAAGAAGATCACTAATTAAAAAGTGATAACACAAGAGGTTACTATTCATGATGCAAGATTGACGGATCGACCTACATTATTGTCAAACTTGAGCCAAATATACATGTCTCTTTTGATAAAGAGTCATTTCCCATCATAGTATGGCATAGGAAAAACAAAAGTAACAAACTTACTGTGTTTTATTATAACAATACCTAAAAGCTCAATTTTTTTTTTATTTTTGCATATTACTTTTTCGATATCTGTTTGATGATATATAAAGTTTAAGTCTGATAGGGGCAAAGTCCTATTGCTTCACAATAAAAATTATGTGACACAAAAATGGTTATCGAGGAAGCTGAGCTTTGAGTCTCTGACTCATATATACCATATATATAGATATAAAGTATTTAAAACTTACCTGAAGTTTCAATAAACAAATTCTTGCTCAAAATTACATGACACAAAAATCCCTTTATATGGTATAAGTATCGAAGCATTAATTTTTTATTTGAATTTTTTCTTATATTTATTGTAAAAGGTGACAAAAATCCCTTTACCCAGATATATAACTAGCTAAATGTAGCAATCTTTCTACTCCGAAAATTACTACTCAACTAGATTGTATTATCTTAGTACCTTATGCCTGCTTTATTAAAAATTTATAATACCTATATATATTCAATAATTGCTAAATATTTATTTTTCAGTTCTTTTTTATGTGGAGTAGTAGGTACACCCATCTTAGTTTCAAAATTTTGCTTATGTTTTAAAAAGTCAGCCTCACTCATATTCTTGTGCTCTTTTTTCTTTTTTTCTCTCAAGTTCAAAAAAAAAGTGATACTTCAAGTTATAATTAACTAAAATATCTGGAATTGAGTAATAAAGTTACAAGAAAGTAAAATTATATCAGCTTATCCAATTTACATATATCACTAATTCTCATTAATAATTTTTTTATATGCTTTAGTAAAATCTTCTTTAAAGATAAATTAGAGAATATGAAATATAAATTAAACTTAATGCACCATACCTATAACCTATTTGAGCAATTAGAGATAATAGCATATATTATCAAAAATCTTATACTATATGATCTTACAAAATGCCTCTATATTAATTGAATATGGAATAAAGAAGCAAAACATAATGTAGCAACTGGAAACAGTGTTTATCTTCTGATGTTGTGGTTGGGGAAACGGCAGGAACACTACTACAACTGTTATACATGAAAAATGATAAGAGGCAGGATTGACCTCGGTTTACCACATGTTACGAAATGAAGACCTACATGTCATTGAAAATTCTAGAAACAGCCTGACCAATTTCGGAATCATATATAGATAAAAAACTGGTCTTTCCTTCTAAACGATCAACAGACGCATTTCGTAAAGAGGATAAAACCTCCGTTGGTAGTACTGGATCAGTTACAGCATACGGATTTTCACGTATAATTTTTTGCCATTCTCGATTGGTGAAAATGGGAGCGGGGTAAGGGCAAGACGAGCTGAATACAATTACTGAAGACAATGCCCTATCAAGCATGCAAAGAAGTCATTAATATAATACATCATTCAACATTATTATTATTATATATCAGAAATACTTACAATATTTCATAAAAATCATTCCATTTTAATCCGTTAATCTTCGCCTTCTCAAGCACATCTATCTGATATTGTCTGAATCTTTGAGATACGTTGATGGTATCAATTACCCACTAAAATGGAAGAAAACTGTAAGATATTCGAATAAAAGAACCAGGATCTTGACATGTAGCATACCTCATTGATCGGTTTCCGTTGCAACTCCTTTTCAATATCCGTAAAATCAAACTTTATTTCTTCATCATCTTTAAGCTCTACATCAGAAGAGAAAGACTCTTCACCATCATTTGTTGCTCTCAGGTTCTTCGTGTTTGGGGCTCTTTTCACATTTTTTTTGCCTAAATATAGAAAATATATGAGCTTTTTTATGTTCTCTTAACTTTACCACTTATGATTTTTTACCTTTTTACGTGAAACATTTCCTTCAATTTCATTCCCTCGTTTATGAGGGGTTGGTAACTTTATACCTTCGGCTAATACCTCTTGTGCACATGCATATTCAGTAAGCTGTTCGCAAGAAAAAAAAACGTTAGTAGAACAAGTAAATATAATCATAAATATATCACTGATTCTGACTACTACAAATAGTCTGAACTTTGGTAACTAAACACATTCTCAATAGTACCTCGTCCTCGCCATATTCGGATACTAAAAATGGATTGTTCTCTGCATCTGCGATCGTTTCTTGACTTGAACTGAGTGATGTGTTAATCACTGATAACAACTGATAAATTTGATTATAATAGAACTTACATGCATGCCTTCTTTCGAGACGAGTTTACATCCACTTCGTCGATTGCTTTGTTCTAGTACAGATAAGTGTATGAATAAGTTGGACTTATTTCTTAGAACTTTAAGAATTGCCCAACCTTTTGGTGTCCACTTTGCAAAGGAAAGGTATTGGAATAGTCTTCAACGGATAATGATTCAGCATTATGTACTGCAACTTTGCTGTATACTTTCATACTACCAATGACATGTGCTCGCTTTGCTTCCATCTATATTGTAAGAGTTTGATCATTATTTGTATAATAGTAAATAAAAGATAAAACATAAAGTGGAATCAAAACCTTTTTCCGCTCATAGATTATTCCTTCCCAGTATACCTGCAAACCTTTGTTTGTACATTGATTTTTTACCTATGTAGAAATAAGAAAACGTTAATTCTGACATTTTCACATTACAAGCAAACAATTTAAATTCAGGCGATGAAAATACAAGTCGCGATAGTGAGGTTTGGAATGACAGCCAATACTCCTAATCTAGACGACAATAGACAAGAGCTACCATCACTATCACTCGGGTTGGAATGACAGCCAATACTCCTAATCTAGGCAACAATAGACAGGAGCTCCCTATTATAAAAAGGGAAGAGTACATAACCTGCTTCTCAATAGCCTCATAGTCATCTGATCTTAGTCTTTTTGCTTGTTTCAGAAATCTACGAGTCCAAGTGAGGTCAAGAACATGCCATTCGCTCGAAAAAGGTTGTGAGGAAAGAATAACATTGCGGTGAAGGTTTAAAAATTCAGGGTATGACCATTCTGTGTGCTCATTCAAGTAGGAGATAAGTTCTGTAACAATTTGTTATGACAAGTTAGAAAAGGAACCTATTTTTCTATTAAATTGCCATCTACACTTACGAGTATAACCAGAGTAGGGTTCATTCATGATGCAAATCAACTTTGTGAACAATTTTTTTTCAGAGAAAACGATCTGCAAAAAAGACGCGTTTTCGACCACTAACAATCACATAAATACGTATTACGTAGTAAAATCACATGAGCGTTCCGAAGTGCGCCAAGAAAAAATTCTTACAGTAATACACAGATTAATCTGATAGTATACATCTTTGTTATATAAAAAAATAAAAGCTTGATGTGAGTTTATTAGCTATGCTAGCGAAGTTAATCTGGACTTTACCCATTTGAACTCATCTCGGTAGGCGACTTGTGATATCTGGGATTTTATAATATAGCGATATCAATACTCCATTTTTCCGATATTTTTTCAAACAAGTGTGACCGCTGGGTCACAGTAACATGATGAACGTAGTATAAATCTTTTCATTTCGTAAGAACAAGTGTGCCACAGTAAAGTAAATATGACGCAGTAGTCAATCTATAAGATCTTATGTATATAAGCATATTCTGAACTTTATTGGATACCTTATCAATTTAGCCTAGCCTTCAAAACTTTGGCTATTACATAATCGATGTCATCTTAAGTTTTATTATAAAAACTAAATCACAACATACAGTATATCCTTTCTTCCAAAAAAGTAGTAGCTTCGAATTAGATCCTGACTAGTTTTTTGATTATTATCTTCGGCTCTGATGATCATGTCATTTAATTCGTGAAAACTATCCGAGTTTATGTCCATTTCGGGGAATGTCTGCAAAGTAATAGTATCATCAGAAGAATTTTGCGAGAGAGTAGAAGTGCCCAATTCCTTAATTAGCCTTCTTAATATAGGTAAATCATCCCTATTAACTGGTTTTTTGGCTTTTTTGTTGGAGGTATCTGTAGAGGAACATGCTTTTGTAGTAGGATGGTAGTTGTATTAGATGATTCTTCGACATGATGTTTCGTTTCTTCATTTATATCAACCCTAAAAGGGTTGGTAGGACAATCAACTAAAACGCGATTCTGTGTGACTATAAAATCTGAGAAGACAGAGTCCGATATGCGGGTGATGGAATGGGAAATTTAATTTTGAGTTTTTTTTTTGGGGGGGTTTTTTTTTTTTTTTTTGATTATTTTTTTGTTTTTGATATTTTCGAATTTTAATTTTATTTTTTTGTTGAATTATTAATAATGTTAAATTTTCATTATCAGATTGTGAAGAATTATTATCATCAGATTCAACTTCAGTATTTTTTTGTTTTTCTTTAAATTTCTCTTTAAATCCACTTATACTAGAGAAGGATTCAAGAGCAAGTTCTTCAAAAAATTGACTTGCTCCTATATGTAATTTATCATGTTCAATTGTCTCAATCTCTTATACATTTGCTTTTAAGATTCCATCATGCCAACCATATTCTCCAAAAGAAAATAAAAGTAGATATTGTAAAGGATCATATGCACCATTTAATTTAGATATTCTTTCAAGTTTATTATTATTTCTTTTGATTAGAATATCTCTTTCTTGTATAATTTCATCATTCTCTAAACAAATTGCTGCTATTTCTTATGCAATTAATGCATTATATAATCTTATATCTTTACCATAAGTATTATAAATTTTTATATATAATATTTTATGATCTTGAGATTCTTCAATGATTTCTGCACTTACAAATATATGTACAAAAGGATTAATATCCACTAATTCCTTTTGAAGTTCAGTTAACATTTCATAATTTAATGATTTATTCATTATTTTATGCCTTCTGTTAACTTGACTGATATAATTTGTAGAATCATAAAAATAAATTTGAGCAAATTTAGGTTCACCTAATTGAGGCATTAATGAACCAATTTCATGATACAATTCATCTTGAATTCTAAAGGTGTATACCCCTTCTCTAGCATTAGCAAGATCCTTATCCAATTGAGTTCTAATTGATGTAAATGCAAATATTTGATTATAAGCACATATTTGATTTACAAAAAGCTCATTGGTATTAGGATCCTCAGTAGTAAGTAACTTGTAAATGATTTCTGGTACAGGAGCAAGTGAAGCTAATTGTACTTGTCCATTTAAACAACAGAAACCTTTAGTCTCATTTTTCCATTTCAAGGCATAACAATATTTACAGATAATATTCATCTTTTCAAATTGATATCTATTATCAATAATATTTTCACCTTGAATATTTTCTTTTATATAATTATCTATTGAACTATAACCAATTTTATAAAATTGGTTAAATTCTTTTTCTTTTAATTCTTTATATTTTTGTTTTTGCCTCTTATAATTCTTTTTTCTTTCCTCTTCAATTTTCTCAACATTTTTAAATTCTTGATATTTTTGTGTTCTTAATTTAGCTGCTTCTTGTGTTTTGGTTCTCTTTTCAGAAACAGCTATAGATGAATCTGCCATTGTTGAAGATTCAGCAATTGTTTCTTCTTGAATTGATAAAGATTCATCCAATTGTTTATAGTAATAATGTTTGGCAGAATAAATTCTTGCCATTCTTCTTTTTTTTTCTTCTTTGGTTTTATTGGCAAGTTCAAGGTTGACATCTAAAATATGTTGAGGAATTGGTCAAGAATCTTTTTTGATTTTTGGAGGCATTATTATTTTGTGAAAAGAATTTGTTTTTTATTTAAAAAAATTTTTAATTGTAAAAAAAATTATAAAATTTAAATATATTTTTTAATAAACTTATTATTTGATTATTGATAAACTATTGATTATTTTAAAAATCAATGATATAATAATTTAAATCAAAATAATGATATAATAATTAATTAATATAATTTTAATAATTAATAATATAGTAATTTTATGATTAATAATTAAATAATTTAATAATTTAATGATATAATTTATATGTAATTAAAA